GGTGAGTGGTTACCTGAGTTAGGGGGGTGGGTATTTTTGTGGTGAGTGGTTACCTGATTAGGGGTGTGGGTGTGTTTGTGGTGAGTGGCTATTTGATTAGGTGGGTGGGTGTGTCTATGCTGAATGGTTGCTTGATTAAGGGGGTGGGTGTGTTTGTGGTGAGTGGTTACTTGATAGGGGAGTGGGTGTGTTTGTGGTGAGTGGTTATTTGATTAGGGGGTGGTGGGTGTGTTTGTGCTGAGTGATTACTTGATTAAGGGGTGTGTGTGTGTTTGTGCTGAGTGGTTACTTGATAGGGGGGTGGGTGTGTTTGTGCTGAAAGTGGTTACTTGATTAAGGGGGTGGGTGTGTTTGTGCTGAGTGGTTACTTGTGTACTGATGCACCGGGTGTGGGCGTACGACTGTTGTCTACCACTCACATGTGAGGATAAGGTTGTGTAGTGTGGGTGTGCAAGAGGTCTGTACATGAGATGCATCTGATCTGCATCTCGTTACACTTGTCGTACAGAGAGTCTAACGGATATCATCTACGACGAAATCCGACCGCATCTGAACCGCAGCGTATACGTTGAGTGAAAACGTGTAAAGCTTTGATATTCTCGAACGCTATAACGTACAATCTCGTTGCACTTGTCGTACAGAGAGTCTAACGGATATCATCTACGACGAAATCCGACCGCATCTGATCCGGATCACCGACCTCAACGCACTCGCGGAGCTGTGTGATGTGGTATCCACTGAGGTGCTAGCCGATCTGTGGTCGAATACGGACTACACTAAACTCATCTCCTTTGTCACGGTCATGGAACAGATCCAACAGGACATACAGGAGAGGATGGTACGTGTGCGGACAAATCCTAAACCCTGAACCCTATACCCTGAACCCTAAACTCTAAAACCCAGAATCCTGCATGCACAAGCGTACGGTGTGACCTAGATGTTGCGCAATTTCGTGTGTGTGTGTGTGTGTGTGTGTGTGTGTGTAGGTGTAGTACTGTACAAGAGTATGTATGCATGAACATTCAAAAATCTAGATTTCTCAATCTGCGCATTGTATTGTTATTCATTTATGGGTATGTGGACATCA